TCGCACGCGCCGTGGCCCCATAGGGGGCCCCACCTAAGGCCCCAGTGGCGCAGCTCGCATGGCGCCGCCGCCCCACTTTGGCACACCTCTCACGCGCTTCGTGGCCCCAATGAGAGCTCCACCTAAGGCCCCAGTGGCGCAGCTCGTGCGGCGCCGCCGCCAAATTTTGGAACACCCTTCACACGTTTCGTGGCCCCACATGGGGCTCCAACTAAGGCCCCAGCGGCGCAGCTCACATGGCGCCGCCGCCTCGTTTTGGCACGCCCCTGTCACGTTTCGCGGCCCCCTCAGGGAGCTCCTCCTAAGATCCCAATGGCGCAGCTGGCTTGGCGCGGCCGCCCCATTTCGGCACGCCCTTCGCACGTTCCGTGGCCCCGCAGGCAGTTCCGCCCAAGGTCTCACTGGCGCAGTTCGCATGGCACCGCCGCCCGCCGCCCCATTCTAGCACCCCCCCCCCCCCCCCCACACGCGCTTCGTGACCCCATAGGGAGCTCCTCGCAAGGTCCCAGTGGGCAGGGCCGCCGGAGGGCTGACGGAAGCAGCTGGGGCAGTTTGCCACGCGCACGAAACGGTGCAGGAGGGAGGCGGCGGCCCTTTCCAGGGAGCTGAGCTTCACCGAATTTATTCTCGTGGCTTGGCCTGAGGAGCTGCCCGCCCGAGCCTCGCCATCTCTCGACGGTCTGACTGTTTGGCCTCGCGCCGCGGGCGACCCGCGCGCGTCGCTGAGGCCCTCCCGGGGCGACCAGCGCGCGTCGCGGGAATTTCGCGCTGCGCTCTGCCGCTCGCCCCCGACGTCGCTCTGCCCAGTGGCCGCAGCCTTGCCCGCTATCAGCCAGCCAGCTAGCTCTCCCAGCTCCGCGCAGCGGACGACTCGCGCGCGTCGCGGGGACCCCTCCGGGGCGACCAACGCGCGTCGCGGGGGCCCCGTGCGGCGCCGCGCCCGCAGCCTTGGACACGGGCGTGCACGGGCAAAGAGGGATAACAAGAACGGGAAGGAAGCGGGCGCGATACTCGTGAGGAGCGCGCAGACATGGGCGTCGCGGCGCGCGGGCGCTGCCGTCGGGGTTCCAGGGGGAGCTTCCTGCGGCGGCCACGCTCAGTGTCACGAGTACTCAGGGTCAGGCATACGTGAACCATTCACATTCGTATATATATATATATATATACACACACGTACACGTACATACACCAGGCGTGGCCATGCTCGCACTCATGCGAATATACTCACTCGCGCGCAGACTCATTCGCACTCAGACTCACTCGCGCTCAGACTCACCCGTGCCCAGTCTCTCGAAGTTAAACCTATCGTCTTTGTTCGTGTCGTGTACCCCGCCGCGCAATTCGGCGCGCCCCCCGCGCGGCTCGCGGCCCCATAGTGAGCGCCACCGAAGAAGATATTCACAATTGCGGTGCTCACAAGTGTATATGGTTGGGCCCATCGCCCGGCTATTTTTCCCGCGGGGCGTAGCTTTTGCACGCGTATCATTTCCATGTATCGCGGCGCGCGATCCCTTCGCGGTCGCCCGCGACGCGCCTGGCTCGAGGCTCAGAATCGAAATGGCGGGCGGCATGGCGTCGCAAAATCCGTCATGCCCAAGGGGGCGCATATAAAACCATGCAGCTATGTCCACCAGGCGCGCCAAATCATGTAGATTGCAAATCCGCCGGCCGTGCATTCATTGCCAGTGAGCGATGCTGCTCGCGAGCCTGACGCAGTCGTTCGCCAGCCACTGACCTTCGATGTTCTCGGCTGCGGCCAGCTCCGACAGCGCTGGTGCCCATCTGTTGCCGTGAGCAGCCCGCGCGACTGATGCCTTGCCCGTTGTTAAGGTCCACGCGCAGGGCGAGCGCGCTCCTGACGGGAGGGCGCCGGAAGTGGGGAGTCGCACGAATTCATAAGGATTCGCAATCCGAAGGCAGTGGGGGGGTGTCTTTCGCGCGCTTCGGCCGCGGGGGCAAATGGAATGCTATCATTGCGATGTCACGCGGGCCCGCGCGCGAGTCGGGCCGCCATGGCGCGCCCGAATCCCCCGGGGGGCTGGGCCGCATCCTCCGAATATTCTTCTGCGATAAGGAGGGTGCAAGATGATTGCGCGCCCTGTCGATGGATTGCTACCAGGGCCCTCTCCTGCTTCTTCCTCCGCAACTGGATGCCCCGAGACTCGCCTTCCTAAGATATCCTCGCTTTTTTTGCTGTGGTTCGACCGGGCTCCAGCCAGTGCGATTATGTCCATGTTGGCGCTGGTGCTCGCCATGCCTATTCCTCCCATCCGCGATCCAGCGGCGCGACGACGAAGAAGGTAAATCCGAGGGCGCGGAGAGTCATCGGCCAGCGGGCCGCCGATGTCTGGGCGAGTGTTCGGCGGCTGGCCGCGCGGCCCCCCAGGCGGGCCTCGCGCGCGCTGCTGCGATGCTTCCCAGGACTGCCGCGGCAGCGAGGAGGCAGAGAAGCGCGAGAAAGAGCAGGGGAAGTAGGAGGAGGAGGAGGGGGGGCTTGGCGGGGGGGGAAGGGCGAACATGGCGAGGGGGGCAGGGGGCAGGACGGAAAAAGAAATGAAGGCGAGGCAGGATGGGGCACGAGAAGGAGACGCGGGAGACAAGGGAGCGCAAGGAAGCAGAGGGCGAGATACGAGGGAAGGAGATCAGAACAAACGAGAGGACGAGGAGGTGCGGCCTGCGACGACCAGAAGCGCTGCCATCGGCTCTCGTCAATGACGGCGGTCAAAGTACGTGAGTCAGGCCGCCGCGCGTGCTTCAAAGTGCCACCAATGTGAGCAACAACCTGCATGGTGCAACAACCTCGCGCACGAGTCGGCACTCGCCATGGTTATCGACAGTCCCATGCACGCCTTGGTGCTCGCCATGGTTAGTGGCGGCCGCGAGAGCTGTGGCGCGCTCACCTCCACGACGATGCTCTTCGTCGGGCTCCTAGATCTTCGCGCTCGGCGCGTCGCGGGCGTTCTTCGTCGCGGGCGCCTCCGCGCTGTCAGCAATGATCTGAATGCGCTGCGTTCGGTCGTGAATTCTGCGCGGCCTTTCAAGAAGCGCTCCGGCATGCTTGATGCTAGGCTCTGGGAGCGACTGCCCCGAGGGGCCCGCGCGCGGGGCGCTCGCGCCGTTCGCGGCGGCCTTCTGCCGCCCGGGCGCGGCGACATCGCCTCTGTCGCCGTCGCTGAGCTCTCTGCGCGCGCGCGGCTCGCGCGTTTTGGCCGCGCTCTCAGAGAGAGAGAGAGAGAGAGAGCTGCCCGCCCAGCGCCACGGCGGAAACTCAGCGATGGCGGCGGCGGCCATGGCGGTGCATTGCTGCAAGATACGTCTGGGCACTCTGCTCCCTGCGCATGCAGACAAGCAGTCCAGGGCGGCGCGTTCGTGTGCGTCGCGACGCCAAACTCCTCCACGTCGGCCTCGCCGGCGCCCCCCTTGCTTTCGGTCGCCCCGCGCGCGGCCCCGATCGGCTGCGCGCGGCCCCCGCCGCCGTGCACCAATCTCAGGAACGTGCCCGAGACCGCCGTGCATGTCGGGGCGCGCCGAGGATGCTGCGCACGCGTGGCGTCTTGATCAGCATCGGCCACGTCGGCAACTGCGGGATTACTGCCATGGCACGGTGGAGCACGCAGCCAGACTTTGCGGTGGGCCGACGGCCATGGGAGTGAGAGAAGCATCCTGCGCAACACTTTGTGATCATAAACCGGCGCGCGCCATCCAGTCCGCGGTGCGTCAACTGCCGCCACGCGGGCCCAACCTCACTTCGAGCATTGAGGTACAGGGGTACATGTTAAAAGTGGGCACATCGACGACGTGGACGGGGGCCGAACCCAGCCTCACCAGCGCCAACTTCGTCTAAATGCTCAAGAATGTGCGCACCACCACCAGCGGCGGCAAGCTGAACCAGGTGCGGGCGTCACTGCACCAAGGTTGCACTCGTGCAGCCGTATACTAGCTGCTACTGCACCAGGATAACACTCGTGAAGCCGCACGGTACCAGCACCTACACCAGCAATGGAATCTTCCTGCAGTCGTAGGCCATCAGCGTGAGTCACAGCGGATTCAGGTTTGTGCTGAACTTCTCGCCACTATCGGCAACAGCACCTGGACCACTTCCGTGCACTCAGCCGCCACTGCGAGCGGCGTCCGAATCTCCATCTCGGTAAAGTCGTCAGCCAGCTGGGGCAGACCAGCCATGTGCCTCTTCGTGCAGTCGCTCGCCAGTGTTGGCACCTTCAGACCCTCCCTCCCCATGACGTCGTGCGTCACGAAATCAAAACTTACCAAAGCTTCTTCGTGGAGTCGACCGCCGTCTTCACCAGCAACCTCTTGGACCCCAGCGCGCCCAGCCAGCGGCGTGTGACCCTGCTGCGTGGGGATCCCTAACAGCGGTCGCGTGCAAGACCCATCACTGGATCGGGAAGACGATGGATGCGCGCAAGAAACCACCCCTGGCAAAGGCACGTCGGGTCTTTTGGAGGCAAGCCAACGAATGGGTCGCGACCGTATCGAATAACAACCAATCGGGGAAGACATCCACGGCGAAACGGCAGCCGAGCGCCTCCGTGAAGGCCAGCGCGGGCGCCTTGCGCCTTTGAGACCACGCGCGTGAGAAATGTTGCCCATTCCGACCCTGAACCCGCCTAAGACGGCGTCTTACTTTGTTCTTTGTCTTATTATTATTATTCGTATTATTATTGTTATTCCTGCTCCTTCTCGTATTTTTCTTATTTTCATTCTTCCGCCGCGTTCCGCTGACGGTCCCGTTTTGCTTCCGCCGACTCCCTCTCGAGAGACAGCGCCGACTGCACCTATAGATGCCTCCTCCTTTGGGCCAGCCTTCAGTGTGGAAGCTCTTTCTCGTGGCGCCCGCGAGTACCTTCTCTCGCAAGGAGGAAAACGAGGTCGAGGAAGAGGATCATGAGCAGGGCGCGGGAGCAGCGACGACAAGCGAGCCGGCGGCGGGTTCCCGCGACACCCTCGGCGGCTCGAGCGGAGGTCGAGGTGGGCGTCGCCTCGCAGGTCTCGCCGCTCTGGAGGGGCACCTGGCCACTGGCGGGCAAGGGAAAGGCCTCCTCCTGCCTCGCTCCTCCCCCCATCATGCCTCCTTCCCCCTCTCCTCGTCCTGTCCTCTCCTCCTCCTCCTCCTCCTCCTCCTCCTCCTCGCCCTCTTCCTCCTCCTCCTCCTCCTCCTCCTCCTCCTCCTCCTCCTCCCCTCTTCCTCCTCCTCCTCTCCTCCTCCTCCTCCTCCTCCTCCTCCTCCTCCTCCTACGTACTCTCTCCCCCTCCCCTCCTCCTCCTCCTCCTCCTCCGCCTCCTCCTCCCCTCCTCCTCCTCCTCCTCCTCCTCGTTCTCCGCCTCGTCCTCCTCCTCCTTCCCTCCTCCTTTTCCTCCTCCTCCTCCCCCTTCTCCCCCCATCCTCCTTCTCCTCCTCCTCCTCCTCCTCCTTCTCCTCCTCCTCCTCCTCCTCCTCGTTCTCCTCCTCGTCCTCCTCCTCGGCCCTCTCCTCTCCTCCTCCTCCTCCTCTCCTCCTCCTCCTCCTCCTCCTCCCCCTCCTCCTCCTCCTTTTCCTCCTCCTCCTCCTCCTCCCCCTTCGCCGTGTCCCCCCCTGCTCATTTTGCCTTTCTCCTCCTCCTACGCCTCCTCCTCCTTCTCTTCCTCCTCATCCTGCTAGTCTCTCCTCCTCCCTTCTCCTCCATCCCGTTGGGAAAGAAGGTGAGATGTGGGACAGAAAGAGATAGATAGAGAGAGAGAGAGACGAAACAAAACGATGTGTGTTCATAGACATATAACATGTATACATATGCCTGGAACACGTACCATATACGTACCTGTATGCGAATATACCTGTATACGCATACACCGCATATAAACACCGCCCTCTGGTTCCACTGCTCTTTCATTGAACACTTAACGTTGCTAAGCCAGTTCGCGCCTTAATGAAACAAATACGCTCTTGCATACAGGCATGCTGACAATGTTCGCACTGTTCATGTGTGGTGAAAGGTTGGATGCTTGTTGATCTAAAACGTGGCAGGGACACCATCGCACATCGTGTTTGAACGCGGTGGGCGTCCCATTGTTCTCACACGAGACCGACTTGCAGGCAAACCTGCAACGTGCGTGTGGAAATATACAACATGGCCTTGAAAAGATACAATAACCTTCGAAATGATGGCTCCTCCTATTCCTCCTCCTTCCTCTCCTCCTCCTCCTCCTCATCCTCCACATCCTCTTCCTCCTCCTCCTCCTCCTCCTCCTCCTCCTCCTCCTCCTCCTCCTCCTCCTCCTCCGCCCCTCCCACAATACTGACTGCCCCTCCTCCCTCCTCTCTTCGCATCCATCCTCTCCTCTCCTCTCCTCTCTCCTCTCCTCTCCTCTCCTCTCTCTCTCTCCTCTCTCTCTCTCCTCTCCTCTCCTCTCCTCTCCTCCCTCTCCTCCTCCTCCTCCTCCTCCTCCCCTCCTCCTCCTCCCTCCTCCTCCTCCTCCTCCTCCTCCTCCTCCTCCCCCTCCTCCTCCTCCTCCTCCTCCTCCTCCTCCTCCTCCTCCTCCTCCTCCTCCTCCTCCTCCTCCTCCTCCTCCTCGTTCTCCTCCCGCACCCCTCCTCCCGCACAGGGGCCGCACGGGCGGCCGACACCGCGCGCCTCCGCGAGCCCCTCGCAGGAGGCCTGCCAGCCCGAGTCCAGCTCGTCCAGGACCTCGGCACGGGGACCCCCCCGGGCGGCTGCGAGGGAGGCGGGCCCCGGGAGAGGGACGCGCAGCTTGGCGGCGCGCACAAAGTGACTACCTACCAGACCACCCCAACCCAACCCGAAGACCCGAATTCCGGGTTGGGGGGGGTAAGGGTTCCATATGTGTTTTCTCGATGTTCCCCGACCCCCCCCCAACTGGAAATGGAGGGCAAATCGAGACCTTCGGGTTGGGTTGGGGTGGTTTGGTGGGAGGTGACAAAGGAGTACGGGGAGGCGGGCAAGCTTCTTAAGAAGGAGGCTGTTTCTCAGAAGGCGCCGGCACGCCTATTGACGAGGCCCGCGCCTTCGATAGGAAGCAGGTGCGCTTCTAAGACGCCCTCCCCCCGTCCCCCCTCCCCCCTGCCGCCCCCACCCCCCCTCTGCGCGTGGCCGAGCAGCTAGGCGAGCGGCCCATGCCCCTGCCGGCGCCAGAACGCCACGAGGGGCGGCACGGGGGCATGAATGAAGATTTGAGCAGGGACCGACCGTCCCGGCATTCCGATCGTCCTACCACGAAATGTTCTTAGAACCCTGGAATGTTCTAACAAAAACAATGTTCTTAGAACATTAACCCGATGTGATAAAACAAGACAGACGCCGACAGAAGTGTTCAAAGAAATTTCCGTGGAAACCACCAAAGGTTCTTAGAACATTGTTTGGTAGGGCTATAGGCGAGCCAGGACGCTTCCCCACTGCTTGAAACATGCAGCCTCTGGAGGCCGAGGTGTGGACGGGGCCTAGACGTGGTGCTGATTTGATCAGTGCGGCCAGCTCGGGAGGCCGACCGCCTCCTCACGCCTGGCGGGGATGGGGAACGCCAAAGCAGTCGGGTTCCCACCGACCTGGAGGAAGAAGCTGAGGATCATTTTCGACAGAACATACAAAAACAATTCAAACATACTCAAACATTGCCAAACATACTCAAAAAATAGTCCCCAGACTATGTTCTGACTACTCTTGAATATTCCCCCTGTAGAGGGACAGGCCCGACTTCAGGATAGAGCAAGGCCCAACGCGGGCCCAGGCAATCAAAGATCCGTGGCAAACCAAACACCGGGCTTCCGGTGCCCCCTGCTGGCAGGACCGCGAGCACGACGGACGACGGCGGACCACGGCGCGACGTCTGGCAGCACATGTCGGGGAGACGTAAGACCCGGGTACGGGGGACTCGGAAATCCCCGACGAGGTCGTCAAAAAAATGACGAGGCCGAGCCTGCATTTTGACGAGGCCTCCCGCTGCAGACATCCCACAAAACTCCTCCTCGTCAAAATCCGAGTCGCGGTCGTCAAAAAACGATGGCGAACCCGAGTCCTGGCAAACCCGGGTCTTACGCTCCCCCGAACATGGGGGTGCAGCATGGCTCTGACGTCTTGGCAGTGTCACGAGCTGCGCGGACGTGAGCCGCTCGGCGGGTGCGGTGCGGGTTTAGGGGGAAAACAAACCTCCCTCGCTTTTGACCACCCTCGCTTCCAAGAGATACCAAACGATGCCAAATTGCAGCCTGTACTGGTTTGGCCGCTTGACGAGGAGGCGCGTGGTATGACTTGGTTTTGCCTGGAAGCGAAAGTGGGGGAGGTAATTCACGCTCTGAGGGTTGTCGTCCCCCTTCTTCCTCCCCCTCTCATCTCCGCAGTCCTTCGCCGGGGCAGCTCCACGAGTCTCCGGCTATGCGACACGCGTTCGCCTCGCAGGGTGAAAAAAAAAGAAGGCGGGCCCCCCATGCGTTCCCACACTCCGGGGCCCAACACACTCTTGCGCCACATCAAAAAACCACGAACGCACATGCTTGCCGATGTTCTGCCTCGGGGGGCTCTCGCTGGGCCCCCAGACCGTCAAACACGACTCGGGATGAAGACCTTGACGGGACTTCCGGAGATCCCGTGCTGAAGAAATCGAGACACTGGATGTCTGTGCCCGCGCAACTGCTGTGAAGTCTTCGCATGAACGATTGAAGACCAGTGCGGGAGTAGGCCCAATGAGGTGGCCATCGCGCTGGATTAAGCCCGGGATTGAACCATATTCGCTGGGATTAACCTGGACCAGGAGGGATCATGCCGGAGAGAACTGGTTTTCGATCACGGATGCGCCAGCGCCAAAGCTGACCTTACCCTCCCAGGAGCTGCATCCTGATCAGCCCTCCTCGCCTCGTGGACAGATCACGGCTGGTAGCCTGTGACCAGCTGCGGCTTCCTGGGGCTCCTCACCAGGCATCGGGGCCGTCAAAAAGACGGCGCAGAATGACAAGCTGGCCCTCTGAGGCAAACAGTCCAGACCTCCAGGGCTGCCGTGCAAAATCACAACGTCGGAGGTCTAGGTAGCAGGAGTGAGGCGGGGCATGGAGGAACGACGAGGATCGACGATCGCGGAGGGTCGAAGACTGCCCTTCCTGGGCCTCCTGTGGCCTCCTCTGGAGGAGAGGGAAGTGCTTCTCCTGCTCCCGCGTGTGCGGCACGGGACGAAGGACGGGGGCAGGATTGAATTGAACGGGGGGTATGGCGACCCCAATCGCCAACTTTGTTGGGCGCTCGGCTGGGAAAGGAGATCGGGGCCGACTCGGGGATGTACGCTCGGGGGGGCGCCCGTCCGTTCTCGATAGCGGTGCATCCGAATAGGCCCTCAGGGGCGTATACCCAGCTTCTCCTCTTCTTTTCTCATCGACCAGTTTTTCGGGGAGGACTCGGGGATTCGGTAGCGAGAGTCTCCTGACTTGGCGAGAGTGCGTCAGCGCGAAGAGCGCGGGCCCTGAAAGGGTCCTGGAGCTTTTTCGCCGCTTTCATCTCTAGGGATCCTCCACGGCCCCAGGAGCCTTCAACGAAGACTGCCCAGGCTGAAGACGGGGGGTGGGAGGCCCCCCCGCCCCCCATCTGGGGCTGGGGTTTGCGTGTGTCCACCGCCTGGGGAACGGATGTAGCTCCTGGAGGCGGTGGATATGTATATCCGCGAGCCCCAGGGGTCCAACGACATCCAATCCACATCCACTGCCTCGTAGAGCCCATCCAACCCGCGCAAGCATAGAGGGAGCCCGCCGCGACGACAACGACGACGACGACGACGACGACGACGACGACGACGACGACGACGACGAGGACGACTACGATAACGACCACGAGGAGGAACATGATGAGGACGAGGAGAAGCATGAGGAGGAGGAGGAGGAGGAGGAGGAGGAGGAGGAGGAGGAGGAGGAGGAGGAGGAGGAGGAGGGGTGCTGAGTGTGCAGATGACGCGGCCCAGTCGTCGGACCCTGGCGCGCAGGCCGAGTGGGCCCGCCTCGCGCCCGCGCCGCGCCGAGGAGGGCGGCGATTCACCCACGCGCGAGCGGGCCGAGCGAGGCAAGCCGAAGCGGAACGAAAAAACGAGGGCCGAAGCCCGAAGCAGAGCACAACAAGCCCCCCCAATGGGGGCTTAGAGTGCCGTGTCCAGTGCGTGGGAAGACCACCACCACCCCACGCTGTATCCTCACGCCTGGAGACCTGGCTGAAGGGGATGCCCTCCGCATGCGCGAGCTACTTGGCAACCGCCCTGGCCTGGACAATGGTCCGCCAGTTTGGCCCGCACCGCTCGCAGGCAAACTTATCAAGCTGGTCGTAGAAAGCTGCCCAAGCATTTCGAAGGCTTGCTCATCCCTGTGCTTTTGGCTCATCATGACGTCCCCGCGGTGGGGTCCCGAGCTTGTACTTGTTCTTGTGTTTGCCCTGGGTCTTGCCCCCCCGACGGGGGTTCACGACAAGGTCGTCGATCTTCTCCATGGCGCCAGGAGGAGGAGGAGGAGGAGGAGGATGAGGAGAAGGAGGAGGAGGAGGAGGAGGAGGAGGAGGAGGAGGAGGGAGGGGGAGGGGGGAGGGGGAGGGGGAGGGGGGGAGGAGGAGGAGGGAGGGGAGGAGGAGGAGGAGGAGGAGGAGGAGGAGGAAGAGGAAGAGGAGAAGGAGGAGGAGGAGGAGGGACGAGAAACAGGACACGTACGAGGCCCAGTGGATCGGCGACCACGTCGACACGTACGGAGCCCAGAGGATCAGCGAACACGTCGACGCGTTCGAGGCCCAGAGGATCGGCGACCACGTCGACACGTACGAGGCCCTGCGGATCAACGGCCACGAGAAAGGCTACGAGAAGAGCTACGGGAAGAGCTAGGGGAGCAACAAGAGCTACGGGAAGAGCCACGAGAACTACGGGAGGCGCTACGGGAGCAACGAGAACTACGGGAGCAACGAGAGCTACGAGAAGGGCTACAAGAAGAGCTACGGGAAGAGCTACGGGGGCAACGAGAGCTACGGGAGCGACTTCGAGGAGGGCTACGAGAAGAGCTACGGACGCAACGGGAGCGACTCCGAGGCGGCCCTCGGGAGCAGCTACGGGAGCTACGGGAGCGATTCCGAGGAGGGCGACACGGACGATCAGGAGGACAATCCCGAGCACGAGGAGGAGAGTACCAGTAAGAGGACCCTGTTGTTGCCGACGACGACGGACGAGAAGGACTCAGACGGCCCAGCCGACGACGACTCCGACCAGGAGGACTCTGGCAGCGACGCCGACAACGACGCCACGCCCCAGGACACCATGTCCGACGGCGTGCCCCAGGAGACCCGTGATCCCCGAAGACCCCCGCCGCCCCCTCGACGCCCCAAGCCTCACGACACGCGGCTCCCCTAGACGACCCTACGACGCCCTTCGACGCCCCTCCCCCGACGATCCTCCCCCGACGACCCCGCCCAACGACCAAGAGGCCCCACGACCCACGACCTCCGAACGACACCCCAATGGCATGCCGCAGCCACTGCAGCACTCCAGGCGGCGGGAATCGTTCGCCCCAACGCCGCAGCCTTCGCCTCCATGGCCGCCTCCAAGGCCGCCATGGAGCCTTCGCCTCCCATCCCCGCCCGAATCGAGGCGATCCTGGCCGGCGTCGAAGTGCGAACTGACGGCGAGAACGAGGAGAAGATCGTGCAGGAGGACGCAGGAGGACGCA